CCCCCACCCCCCCCAAAAAGGCTTGGAGGAGTGAAAGTGCTAGAACAGATGTCACTGTTCTTGTTCTTTCACCAACTCACTGCTAGTGTGTGTGTGTGTGTGTGTGTGTGTGTGTGTGTGCGTGTGTGCGTCCATGTGTCTGCACAGGTCTCTGTGGGATGGGCCTTTTTGTGTGTGTCTGTGAGGGTGACAATGTGTATGTGCCAGATTGTGCATCTGTGTGTTTGAGGGTCTCTGTATGTGTGGAGTATGTGTCTATTTGTGCACCTATGAGGTCGAGGACAGAACCAGAGGGACTGGTTTCTTTCAAAGCCTTAGGAGAGTGGTCAGGGTAGGTTTATATTTGGTTCCTTCAAAATGAGTCTTTCCTTCACCCTCCACAGAACAATTCCTTCCCATTCTGTTAGGCTCAAATCCATCTCATTTGCTCATTCATTCATTCATTCATTCATTCAACAGAATACATCTCTCTCCTTCATGGACCCTGCCAGGCTTCCCCCAACCACAGGGCCTGCCTCTTCTATGAATTATGACGCCTGCAAGGGCCCCCATTTATCAAACACCAGCCAAGTCGTTACACGCCAGGCTCTCTGCTCAGAACTTTCCGTCCATCCCCTTGCTCAATTCCCAAGACAGCCTATGAGAAGGCTAATGGTCTACCACACTCTAGGGGAAAAACGAGAAAAACTGGCAAAGTTTCACAACTTCTCCAGGCTTACACAGCCAATCAGTAGGAAAGCAAGAGCGAAAACCAAATTCTGACTCCAAGCCTGTGCTCTAGGCTCCTAACTACTGGTCTCTGGGGGGTCCTTGCGCCCCCTCCCTCATGCCCTGTCCACTGCCTGGTGTGGAAGGGCTACTTGGGGAAGGGCTTGAGGCTCAGGCCTCTGGGTGGTCTCTTGGGGTCCTGCCTAGTGCTGTGCACATTAGAAGTCCACCCTGCGCCCGCCTGGAGGAGCTGTGAGTCAGACCCAAGTGCACACACTTGAGGGCAGAGCCGCTTCCCAGCTGCTCTTGACTCAT